GTTTTATGTTCTAGAAAATGTTGGAATGTATGAAGCAACTTTCCCTGGCTGATGGGACTACCTGTGTTCGTTTGGAGGAGTGCTGCTGTAGGATGGGGTGCTTCACCGCAGCCCAGGCTCCACCTCTGACCCCTCTTGTCAGCTTCCTGACAGCTAACTTGTGGACGGGCCAGCAGCACCTGGTTCAACTGGGGCTCCCTTCACCTAGTAATGGGCCTGTGGGAGGCTTGCTAGGAACAGCTCCGGTGGCGCCGTCAGTTCCTGTCAGCTCTCAGCAGCCACACTTCTACGCTCCTCTCCACTACTACTCCCTCCGAGGGTTTAAGTTTTACATTATTTTATGTATGTGTTGCCTGTATGCATGTTTGTGTAACATGCCTGGTGCCCTTGGAGGCCAGAAGGTGTTGTCTCTGTTGGAACTGGAGTTGGGGGGCTGCCATGTGGGTGCTGGGGATTGAACCTGGATCTTTCGGGAGAGCAGCCAGTCCTCTCAACTGCTGAGCTATCTCTCCAGCTCTGGTTTTTAATTTTTTATGACAGGACCATCCCTGGATGGTATCAGCTTGCCGTGGGTTGAGTGGTAGAACTGTAGAGTGTACACCACCATGCCTGTCTTATGTTTGCATTTTTGTTTTTAAAGACAGAGTATCAGCCCTGTGTGAGTCCACAGGCCTTTAATCCCAGCACTCAGGAGACAGAGGCTGGAGGAGCTCTGTGTTCAAGGTCAGCCTGGTCTACATAGTGAATTCCAGGACAGCTACATAGAGAGACTCTGTCTTAAAAAACAAAATATCATATAGCCTGGGCTGGCCCTAACTACGTATTTACCCAAGGATGACCTTGAATGCCTGATTCTTTTGCCTCTGCCTTCCAAGTGCTGGGATTAGAAATTATCACACCTGAATTTCCTTTATTTTCTAATTGTGGAGAAATGTACCTAGTATATAAGTGGCATTGTCTTCCACAGTCTTAGGGAGCAGTGGGGTTTGGTGCCTCTGTACTGCTGTGAGCCAGCACACTGTCTTAGAAAGTTCCATTGTCCCAAAATTTTTCAGTAAACACTGACACCTTGCCTCCCACCCTGGCACTGGCTTCCCTGTCCTCTCTGCATGTGACCCCCAGCGTCCTCATAGGTGGATCTGTGGTTGCTGGGGCTTGTCCTCGGGCTGGTTTCTCTCACTCACATGGCTACTCTGTTCCTTATCTGAGATGTCTCTGGTTGCCACTGAAGCCCCTCTCCCTGCAGGTTGGCTGCTCTGTATCCTTGGTGGAAATTGGTGTCACTCTCTCTAGCCAGATGGTGGTGCAATGTGCCCCTGTTAGACGCTCTTTCCCTCTTAGTGGGCACACAGCTCCCTTTATGTTGTTGTGTGGGTAGAACTGACACCCTACCTGGTGTGTCAGAAGAGCCTGAGGCCAGTTGCTGTGCCAGTCCTGTCACCTGCTTAAACTCTCTGCCTGAGAGTGTGCTGTGAGAGTGCTTTTGGCATTGCATGACTCTCCTAAGCTCCACATTCACTGCCACTCTCCAGTGTCCAGGGCTCCTGAAAACCAGTGTCTTCTCTTTAAAGCCACATAAGACACCTCTGAGGGGAATGAGGAACAGTAGGTTCAAGAGTACTAGATGGGCCCACGGGTGGCCTGCAGTTATAGAATCACATGCCTGTGTCAACATGGCTGCAGTCTGTCAGGTAATCAGTGATATGTTTGGTCACCCAGAGAGTCTCCCTTCCACCAAAAGTGTGTTTCCCACCAGAGGGAAAAGGATTGTGGCCGTGGTGGGTTGGGCTTGGAAGGTGACCTAAGAAAATCAAGCATGGTAGGTTTTGCCTGTAATCCCAGCCCCTCAGGAGGCAGAGGCAAAAGAATTGCCACTATCTGAGGCCTGCTTGGTATATGGAGTAATAGCCTGCATTAAACTCCAAAAATAATTAACCAGGAAGGTCCCTTCACCTGAGAAAAAAGAAGAGACTTAATGGAGCTGGACATGGTGACTCATGCTTGTAATTCCTGTGTTTGAGAGGCAGAGGCAGGTGAATCTCTGAATTTTATGCTAGCCTGGTCTCATAGTGAGTTCCAGGCGAGCCAGGGTTACATAGTGAGACCCTGTCCCCCAGAAAAAAGGAAAAACAAACTCAAAACCAAATAACTTGAGGTGCTGCCTAAGAACTAGGCTTGTGAGAAAGGAGCAGGGAAGGGGCCTTCTCCATTTCTCTCATTTTAGTGTTCCCTTCCCCCATTAGAGGGAAAAGGATTGAGACCATAGTGGGTAGGGCTTGGGAAGGTGACCTTAGCTTCCCTGCTGCAGGCCTGGCTGCCTAGCCAAAGCCAACAGGACTAGTGGTGCTTGGCCTGGGGTTCCCCTGTTCTCAGGAACTGGGATTTGGCCGCATTGCGGCCCCAGCTGTGTGAAGTAACTTCAGCTTTGGATGAGGCCAAATGGGCTGACTGGAAAGGAGCAGAGGCCTCTCTTTGTTGAGCAGGAGTATCATAGTTCCTGAGTCAGCACTTCTGCAGCACTGCTGTGTTCCTAGAACTCACGTACAAGGCCTCAGAGCCCCAGGCAGGCTCTGGGGCTCAGCTAGGGTACATACAGCTCAGAGCCCTGGACAACAGCTACCTCTTCTGGCCTCTGCTTCCCCACTATTCTGCTGCTCTAGACCTTCCCTTCTGGTTTTCTGCTGACAGCTCACCCCTCGGGTATCCACTCCCTGCTCTCAGAGCCAGCTGCAGGGAGCAAGGAGGGCCTTGTACTTTGGAACTGGCTGGCTGTGCTGGCTGCTGAAATGCAGCGTGACCTGGCCCTCACTGGAACTGTGCACTGAAACCTGAAGCTCTGACACTCAATCAGCCACACACAGGAGAGGCCCTTCTCTACCCAGACTGCAGTTCAGTATACCTCTGCCTTCCAGGTAGCCCCTGTTGGCTAACTAATGTGTCCCAAGTACCTGTGTGCCAGGAATGTAGAGGTCAGAAGACAACCTGGTAGAGAATGGTTCTCTCTTTCCACCTTCACATGGATCCCAAAGATCAAGTTCACTACCAGGTTCATCTGGAAAGGACCCATATCGTATCTGCTGAGCCATCTCATTGGGATGGCTTTGTTTTTCTTACTTGTTTTCTGGTATTGCCTGGAATTGAATCCAGAGCTTTGTTTCTGCTTGGCCTGTCTAGCCTAGCACCTCTGAAGTACCACCACCCCAGCTTTATACACAGGATGGGGGAGCATTGAGTGCTGCCTCCCTAGCTGTACAATGCAGTGTCAGCAGGCCCTGATGGATGGGGTGGTGGGGAATCATGTGCCAGCATGTGTAGTCCTGGACACACTGTCCTTCCCTTGGGACTTCCCCCTACAGTTTTTCTGTCTTCTACATCTAAAGATTGCATGCCAGTCCTCCTGAGGTTGGGCTTCGTGGAGTAGTTTTCCCAGACAGTGCTAGAGTAATCTGTGAGGCAAGAGCCTGGCTGGACCAGCCTGTCCCTGACTGTCTTCTCTCTGAGTTGCTTCCCTGGCTCATCTTTTGGGGTCTTGGCAACTTTCTGGGAAATACTAAGTGGTTCTCAGGGCTGGCCTACATTTGGGGTGACCCAGAACCTGTGCACATTAGGTGAGTGACAGGAAACTAAATCCAGGCGAAGGAGAATGTCCAGATTCCACTGGAGAGGCCAGGCTGTTCTGAGGCTCTGTGCCACTGTTTTCAGTCTTCCCAGCTCTGCTGGTGCTCCTGAAGGGCAGACAGGGGTTCTCTCATTTGGGAGCGGTGGGAGAGCAGTGGGAGAGCAGTGGGGGATGCACAGCTGTCAGACAAGTTAAAGCAGTGCCTGGTCCAGAAGTCCCTGAGCCACGTTTATATGGAAAGTGACCAGCTCTGCCATGTCAGCCGTGCAGCTTCTTGGTGAATCCCAGGTTGTGACTCCCTCCAGTACCTACTATCCCCATTCTCATGAAGAAAACTACAAGACTCACACTTCTTTAAATTTTACTTGTGTGTGGAGCCACAGTGCAGTTGTGGAGGCCAAGAGGACAGCTTCCCATGCTTGCTCCTCTTCCTTCCTCTGTGGTTCCTGGGTCACGTCTTCAGCATGCACAGCAAGTGCTTTTACACACTGAATGTCTTGCTGGCCATAAATCATATTTTTGGGGAGAGGTGGGAGGACGAGGGGTGTTTTGTTTGAAACAGTTACGTGTCATTTAGATATCCAATATGTACCAACCACCATGCCTGGCTAATAGTACTATTATTAATGGGGAAATTCAGTTATGACTCTGTCATAGATAACAAAGGTCACTTTAATTGAGATGGGAAGCAGCATAGAATAAGGTTTAGGGCTAGTCAGCAACTTGGCTTTAAAGAAGCATTTAAGACCTACAAAAAAGGGAAGTGGTCTGTGATACTCTTGGAGAACAAAGGTCAGCAAACCTTTTTCTTGAATTAGTATTGTCAGCTATGTAGAACTTTTGGTTTCTGCTGCAACAATCAAACTCAGCTATTACAGACAAAAGTTGGCTTAGCCATGTAAATGAGTGCCTTTGTTTCAATAAAACTTTATTCATACAAGCAAATGATAGGCCAGTTTTGGTCCTGAGCTTGCCAGCCCCTATTGTAGAAAATGAGCCAGGCTTATACAAGGATCTGATGTTTAGACACTGGATAGATGTCAGCTGCAGTTATGGTGCTGTTGCTTACTGTCACCGCTGTTCAGGACACAGAACTGGCAAGTTTCTCTGTGCTTGTGTTACTCTGCTGAGCTGTTAAGTGTAAGTGGCTTGGTGGCTTGCTTTGGCTGAGCATCTATGCATTTCACATGGCTAAAAATACCCCTTGAGGCAAGAAAGACCAGTGAGTTTGCCTTTGGGCTGCAGTAGTGTTCAGATAGAGCATTTTAGGAATTTATAAAATAACCTCCGGTCTAGAACTTGTAGCCACACTGGTGCTCAGAAGCACTGGAGCAGCCTGGGCCTTGGAGCTGTGTTCAGTTCTCTCTTGCTCCTCCCTCAGGTTATGACTTTGCGGCTGTCCTTGAGTGGTTCGCAGAGCGTGTGGACCGCATCATCCTGCTCTTTGATGCCCACAAGCTGGATATCTCAGATGAGTTCTCAGAAGTCATCAAGGCCCTCAAAAATCATGAGGACAAGATCCGTGTGGTGCTGAACAAAGCTGACCAAATTGAGACCCAGCAGCTGATGCGTGTGTACGGCGCTCTCATGTGGTCGCTTGGGAAGATCATCAACACCCCGGAAGTCGTCCGCGTCTACATCGGCTCCTTCTGGTCACACCCACTGCTCATTCCTGACAACCGGAAGCTCTTCGAGGCAGAGGAGCAGGACCTCTTCAAAGACATCCAGTCTCTGCCAAGAAATGCTGCCCTCAGGAAGCTCAATGACCTGATCAAGCGGGCCAGGCTGGCCAAGGTAGGCCCATGAGCTCTGGGGCTGGCATTTGGGGCCCAGTTTACCAAACAAGTATCATTTTACCTGTGTGTCCGGTGTACCCACTGTGTAGCCTGTGACTTACTAAGGTCCTTTACCTGGGTCATTTCAGCCTGCTCTTTCTGAGGCTTATGCCCCACCTAGTCAGAGAATGCAAAGAACATGTATACGCCTTAGAAATACCAAACAAGAAGTTACTATAGAAGAAAGGAGGCCATGGGAGGCTGGCTGGCCTGCTTGGCTTCAACAAACCTTTGGGGTGTGTTGTAGACTAGTGTTCTCAGCTTGGCACAGAACAGTATGGACTTACTGCGGTAGGGAGTGACACACAGTCCCCATTCAAGCCTTCATGGAGGAACAATGCACACACAATAGAATCATTGGTTATTTGGTGGTACTCAGTAGCACAGGGTTCTGCCTGAGTGGAGGACTGGGCAGCCATCCTGGTGGGATAGGATCTGGGAGGCCTCCGTGGGGCCTGCTGTATAAGCCGGGACAGGAAGTAGCTAGAGAAAAGATGATGCCAATTTGTGGCCCAGAAAGTGCTGGATGCTACAGCCCAGATCCCTGGAGGCTGCTGTCTGCATCGGTCGTATAAACACCTATTCCCATTGTGGACGTGCAGGCTGTGCCCAGGCTCAACACCAGCCTCTGAGGTGCTGGAAGCCCTGGAACCTTAGTGGCAGCTAAGGCTATATAGGAGCCCAGTGTGCCCAGAGCCAGGAAATGAAGCTCAGTGCTGCCATGGGCTCGGGATAGGAGACTGCATGGGTTGCCCAGATAAGTTACTGGGGGTGGGGGTGGGGGACTGTTCCAGAAATGGCTTGTGTGAACCCTCTGAACATGAAGGTCTGATGTGGAGTGGACGCCAGGATAGTGAGCCAGTCCAGACAGTTAGCAGGGTTCCCACTGACCCTTCAGGTGCTTGGACATAGTTCAGTTTCTTCAAAAACTGGACGGACTCTAAGTAGATGCCATGATGAACCATCATCAGACTACTCTCAAGGCTGAGGCAGGAGGATCCGTTGAACAGTTTGAGACTAGCCTGAACAAGACTAGCAAGACACTCTTTCAAAACACAAAAGTAGGTTCTTGCCTGACCCCTCTCTTGAAAGGGGTTGGCTTTCAGCTCAAAAGACCTGTCCTGTGAGCCACCCTGTCTCCAGGAAAACATCTTAAAGTGTGGGGTGTCTACAACTGACTGGGTCACATAGAGGGAGAAGAGATAGGCACCAAGTGTCTATGACCGTTGACACAATCACCCTCAAGACCAGAGAAGGTGCTTCCCAGCCATCCCTGCCCGAGTTGTTTGCAGTGCTGAGGCTGCTGTCTGTACACTAGATCCCAGGCCCCCACCTCTGCAGAAGGCCAGTCATGGAATATTTGGGGGTATCTTGGTCAGGGAACCAAGGCTGATGCTTTGTCCTTTACTACTGCTAAGTGTCAGCCATTGTCACTCTCAAAAAACCTGGCTGGCCAGGTGACAGTTTATGGCATTTCCCATCTTCTTTACAGGATCCACGGCTGGGGTTTTTCGTATCTCCAAATGTCTAGACAGGTATGGCCACCTCTGGAGCTGAGCAGTTCTGAGAAAGGAACTTATGAGAATACCCATGAGACTGGCCACAGGCCTCGCCCTGGAACCCTGTGCTCTCCAGCTCTGCCCCACACTACGCTTAGCCCTCAGCTTGCTTTTCCTGCAGGGAGAGTGACTGGGGCAGAGGTGTGACTGGGTTTGTGTGACCTGCCTTCCTAGCTTTCTTGGAAGAACCTAAATGGCAGCCCCAGGACTGAGAAGGGCTGCACGCCCCGGGCTGAGCGGGGAGCAGTGGATGTGTTGAGGGGAGCTAGGGAAAGCTTTCAAGGAATGTTCCAGGCTTGAGTTGTCCTGGCCTGTTTTGATGACACATGGCATATCACTCAAGTGGGATTCTACTTGGGACTCCCCCTGTGCACCGTACAGATAGATGTATGTTAGACAGAGGCTCATTCATAGCTTTCTATGGCTCTGTGGTGTGCTGCTTATACTATTGGGAGGGGGGCAGCTCGGGGAGAACACAGGCAGAGAAACAGACAGAACTGAGTTGTGGTCCGGTTTCTGCAGTCCCCACGGTAGTTCCTTGGCAAGTCTTTGCCTCCAGGCCTTCCTCTGGCCACAATAGATGTGGATGTGTGAGAAGAGAGTGCCTCTAGCCATCCTTCTTATGACAGACAATAGAGTTTGTTATCTCTAGAATGTCACCATGACTTGTACAAGAACGGGTTGGAGAGATGGCTCAACAAGTAGTAGTGCGTAGGTTCAAGTCCCAGCATCCACAGCTGTCTGTGACTTTAGCTCCAGGAGATCTGAACCCTCACACAGGCATACATGCAGTCGAAACAGCAATGCACAGAAAAGGTGGGTGGATGGATGGATGGATGGATGGATGGATGGATGGATAGATAGATAGATAGATAGATAGATAGATAGATAGATAGATAGATAGATAGTTTTTGTCAGGCCAGTGGTTGCACGTACCTTTAATCCCAGTACTTGAAAGGCAGAGGCAGGAGGCCAGTGTGGTCTACAGAGTGAGTTCAAGGACAGCCAGTACTACACAGAGAAACTCTGTCTTGAAAAACAAAACCAAGGAAGAGTATCCATCATCTGTCCTGTGTTAGAGGCACCCTTTCCTCTCCTCCATCCCCATGGCAGTGAGCTGTCACACCCTCAATAGAATCCTGTGTTCCTCTTAGGCCATTGGGCTTCTGTAATGATGACGTAAACTTCCACCTTGACTTTGACCTTTCTGCTTCCCTCTGCCCAAGCGCGGAACTTGAGGCCTGGAAGACCCTGAGGGTAGTGTGCCAAACAAGTCTGATGCCCACTGCCTCCTCCCTCAGGTCCATGCCTACATCATCAGCTCCCTCAAGAAGGAGATGCCCAATGTCTTTGGGAAAGAGAGCAAGAAGAAAGAGCTGGTGAACAACCTGGGAGAGATCTATCAGAAGATCGAGCGGGAGCACCAGATCTCCTCCGGCGACTTCCCAAGCCTGCGTAAGATGCAGGTACAGTCACCAGGCCAGCCTGCCCAGTGCTGGGCACTGGTTCTGGAGGGAATCCCAGCTCTATAGGGCAGGGCCTCTACAAAAGGAAGCAGCTGGGTTAGTCACCAGTTCCCTACCCGATCAGAGTTGACCTAGGTCGAGACACTGACACAAAAAAGGGGAATGTGGTGACTCGGCTTTGGGGTGGGGCATGGCTGTCCATGAATCTTCACAGCAGCCCAGCAAGGATGGCGCTGCTGTGACCTCATGCAGAGTGAGGAGCTCAGGCCTGTAACACTAGCTCAGCTGCCTTAACTGGTGAGTGGAAGCCCCACTCTCCCCACTTAGATAGTCTAGCTTGGTCTGGAGTCTGGAAGACTGCCCCATCTAGGCCTCTCCTTCCTTCTCCTACACTCACAGGAGCTCCTGCAGACCCAGGACTTCAGCAAGTTCCAGGCCTTGAAGCCCAAGCTGCTGGATACAGTGGATGATATGCTGGCCAACGACATAGCTCGGCTGATGGTGATGGTGCGCCAGGAGGAGTCCCTGATGCCCTCACAGGCTGTGAAGGGTGGTGCTTTTGATGGCACCATGAATGGGCCCTTTGGGCATGGCTACGGCGAGGGGGCTGGTGAGGGCATTGATGATGTTGAGTGGGTAGTTGGCAAGGACAAGCCCACCTATGATGAGATCTTCTACACACTGTCTCCTGTCAATGGCAAGATCACAGGCGCTAATGCCAAGAAAGAGATGGTGAAGTCCAAGCTGCCCAACACAGTGCTGGGAAAGATCTGGAAGCTGGCAGATGTGGACAAGGATGGCCTGCTGGATGACGAGGAGTTTGCCCTGGCCAACCACCTTATCAAGGTCAAACTAGAGGGCCACGAGCTGCCCGCTGACCTTCCTCCGCATCTCATCCCACCCTCCAAACGGAGGCATGAGTGACTTCCATGCCTGAGATAGCCCACAGCCCCAGGGCTGCTGGCACTTTCTACCCACCAGCTCCTTTCTGCCCGGTGGGCTGGGGCCTGGAGGGGCAGAGATGGGGGGAGGGAAAGGGTCACCATTTTTCAAGGTCCATAAAGACTGAGCGGTGTTTCCTCAGCTCTCGAATAGGAAAACCACCATCTTTCTTTTAAAGCTGTTCCGGGGTTCAGCGGGGAGGCCTGGGTGATGCTTGGATGTGAACAGTGGGATTTTGTGCACAAGAACCATGATATTTTTAATATATAACATTAGAGGCAGCCTTCTTTCTTGCCTCTTCTGTCTGACAGCCCCACACTCAGCCTCTCCCCTATCCCAGCCAGGCAGTGACAGTGACTCTGGGAACCACCTCTCCAACCCACCCTGGCACCCCCGTGCCCGCTGCCCCAGGCTATATAAGCAGGAGGCTCCAGTTCCTTTGGTTTGTTTCCAGACTGGGGCTTCCTCATGGAGGTTGTTTCCCACTAGCTGTGTTCTGTGCTTGGATAAGCTGTTCCAATCCTCTGCTGTGATGTGGGGTGCACACCTTCCCTTTGTCCACAACCCCTGGCACCCCAGACAGCACAGGAGCCACAGGTAGAAGACCCAACCACTGTTGATGTTGTGGAGGATGGAGGAGTTTTGAGACAGTGTCTTCTAGGAAAATGCATAAGCTAGTTAGTGTTCTGTAAAATGACACTTTATACTTGACCAAGACTTTGGGTAACTTACATCACTTGTTCAAAGCTGTGATTTTGTCTCCCCTTTCCTATACTCCAGCCTTGGAGCAGTTCCACTCCAGAGTCAGCAAGGAGCAGACATCCTTGGGCTTGAGTTTGCTTTCAGGCTGAGGGGAGGTCATCCCAGCTTCTGCTCGGAGGGGTCTGAAATGTACCTCTTAAGGTCAACCTTTGTGGCAGCTTCCTGAAGCCCCTCTCTGCCTTTGGGCAGGCAGTAGGCCCTATGACCTGGGACTGGTGAGAGGAAGCCTGTGGTTCTGGCCTGGGTGTAGTGTCCATGCAGCAGGACAGGGGAAAACCCAACCCCTTCCCTCACCCTGTCATTTCCTTCCTCTCCTCCTCCTCTGCTCAGCCAAGGAGGTCTGGGTGTCCTGAGAGCCCCAGACGGAGCAGTAAGAAGCCAGAGCTAGCAGATGACTACTTTAGTCACCCCACTGTCACTTGGGGACCTGGACACACCCTGTGGCCAGTGGTTGGCTGTCAGGGTGGGCTTTATATTGAGGTGGGTAAGGCAGTACAGACTGGTCATCTGGCACCACAGGTGGCCTTCAGGGAGCTGCCTGCCATCCCCCCAGCGCTGTTCTGGGCCCTGCTGAGAGTGAGCTCCAGCCTGGCCTGTTACCTCCCTGCCTCAGCCCTCCACTCCTTGGCTGAGGGTGAGTGAAATGTCTTCCTCACAGGTTCACTGTTTAAAGTCCAGTGGGCTCTGTTCTCACCTATAGGGAGAGCAGCTGAGTGAAGACTTTGTTTCTTGCATTAAAGAAAGTTTAATTGTGCCAAAGCTTCTCATGCTCCCTTGTCTTTTCCTGGCCAGGGAAGCACCCCTGGGTTTCCCCAGGGGGTTTCCTAAGTTGCCCATGACCACCCATCTCCTGTGCATTGTTGGCAACACTCTCTGGATACTGAACTCGATGGTGCACACCCATAGTTTGAGCACTTGGGATGTGGAGGGAGGACCAATCGATCAGCTTGAGCCACAGAGAGCCTGTCTCCAAACAATCCAAACACCAGTAGAGATTGATAACAGAACTATGCTGGGCCCACTTCCACCATCTGCACATTGTCACCTCCCTCAAGACTGCTGCAGCCATAGACAGGATGGCCTCCCATCCCTAGTGTGCTCAGACTGGGCTATGGGAGCCTGTAAACAGAGGTTCCAGGGCTCTGAAGTCACTTGACTCCTCACTTGTCCCAAGGCAGGTTTGGAGCCAGCAGAGCCAGCTCTGAAGATGGCAGAGACTGACAAAATCCACAGTTCTGGGTGGGGTTGGTTAGAGCCAGCTGATGTGTCAGATAGGGGACCTGTTTATGACAAGAGAGGAAAGGATGACAAATTGGGAGTGACATGCCCGGAAGGGTGCAGATGGGAAGTAAGGCTAGAGAGAGACCCGCTCCAGGCGAGGCTGGGACAGAAGCCCGGATAAACAGGTGCTTATCTTAGATCCAGAGCTGCCTCCAGGGTCTAGCTGCTGTGGCTATAGTCCAGTCACCATAGTCTTGACACCTAGTGTGGTCTTCTGCTAGGCTTGCCTGAGCAGAAGTTCTATGTTTACATCACAGATTAAGGGCCCAGGAGAGGGTAACACACGCAGCACTGGTAGCCAAGGAGATCAGACTCAAGTCTGCCAACTCCAGTCCCGTTCTTGAGGAGATTCTCATGGAAACTCTAAAGCAATGATGACTTCTGAATTGTCTAGTCCATGTCACCCTCAACTGCCACTCTTAGGTTTAAAATGCCCCCTGGAATGATTCAATGCTGTCATTCCACCTGAAATTTTAGACACTTGGGACTACCTGTCAGTTTGCAGAGGTCCCACAGAGATGCTCTATGCTTGCTCAAGCTGCTAGCACCAAAGAAAACAGGCCCAGGGAGCTCCCTGGAATGTTAGGACCCACCTTCACCCTCCACCCGTGGGACTCGTGGTATACTATCTGCTCAGCCCCCATCTCTGTGAGATGATACCCAAGAGGATGTTCACATGGTGCCCATTAAGAAGTTTAAAATCAAGTATAAAGGCATCCCCTAACTGCTGCCCCTGGACTCAGGTTTTGGTTTCATGATTCAGACTCCTTTGGGCCATGGTGGGAACTGAGGGAGAAATGTCCACTCAGGGCTGGCTCTTGCCCCTCAATTCCTTTCTTGTTCTCTAGAAGCCAAGATCTATCAGGAAGCAAATACTTGCCACCCTGCTTCCAACCCCTGGGATAGGAGGTCTTCAGAACAGTCTGATATCCCAGTTCATAGCATCACACAAACCCAAGACCCAGGAGGCACAGAAGTCCATCTACAGGCTGCACCTGTCAGCTATTTAGTATGCTGAGGTTTCTTGCAGGGTCGTTCTTACCTGGTTATAGGGCTTGCCTGAGGCCAGTGGGCTAAGAAGAAGACAATGGGGGAAGGAAGCCGGTGAGAGGATTCAGAAGTTTACAGCACTGGCTGCCCTTCCAGAGAATCTGGTTTTGATTCCCAACACTCACATGGCAGCTCCCAACCGTCTATATAATTCCAGTTCCAGGGGATCTAACACAGTCTTCTAAATTTCAAGACTACTCAAATGTGATACACAGACATAAATGCAGGCAAAACACCCATACACCTAAAATAATAAGAAAGAGCACAGCCAGTCATCATTCCTGTCCTCTGCTTTCAAAAATCAAAGCTTCAAAGCTTGAGCTTGGGTGATGGCCAGTAAGAAGACCTGAGTTCAATACTCAGAACCTCATAAAAGCCAAATATAGCAGTGCATACTCATGACCTCTATACTAGAGAGGCAAATACAAGCCCCAGATGTGACCAGCCAGCCAAGCCCATGAACAATCCTAAAATGAGGTGAATTACAGTATCTGAGAAAGGATGCTGGCCTGCATCTTACATGCACCTATACACAGATATATCTGCACGTGTGCGCGCACACACACCACACACACACACACACACAAAGCGTGTATGTATAGGACTCCACAAGACAGTGGGTTTGATCTCTCACGGCACTGCAATCAAACAAATCTCTTGTCCTCTGTCAGCAGTTAGCAGTCTTGGCCAAACAGCCTTATGTTTAAATCCCAACTCTGTCACTTGCTGGAATCAAGCCTGCCTTTTTCCTTTTAAGCCTGTTCTTTGGGATCTTGAAGAGACCTGTGCTCAATGGCTTCCTTCCCTAGGCACCTTGGTTAGGGCTAGTGGGGGGGGGGGTGAGGTATATGGGGAGCATGGTACCCCACCCAACACCCAGAACAAAACAGAAGGACCCACCCTTCCCTGAAGTAGCAGACAGGGTGGCGCCTATGAGCTGCAGGGGTGCAAGGTAAGGGGGCTCTGGCCTGGCTTCCTGTGCACCCAGAGAGACTGGTAATTGTGAAACCACATGGGCTGCTGATGAACAGAGCAGAGCGTGGGAGCCCTGTGGTGAGCTGGAGCAGCACGGGGAGGATTTGGAAAGAAAACCCAGGATGATGAAACCACCATATGTCCACCCATTAGGAGTGTTGGACATTTCACAGAAAATACCCATAGTGCAGTAGGCAAGAAAGTAGTGTGGGAGCTGACCCAACAGAAACTTTCAAACTAGGGCCTGGAGAGATGGCTCAGTGGTTAAGAGCACCGACTGCTCTTCTAGAGGTCCTGAGTTCTAATCCTAGCAACCACATGGTGGCTCACAACCATCTGCAATGGTATCTGATGCCCTCTTCTGGTGTGTCTGAAGAGAGGAATGGTATATTCATATACATAAAAATAAATCTTAAAGCAAAACAAAACAAAACCTTTCAAACAAGCCTTGAGCAGCAAAGGCAGGGATATTGGGCTCTCTGCCTCAGATGGTCCCTATGTTATTCCTAGACAGAAATGTTACACACACCAACAAGAGCCCCATGAAGAACCCATGCCACCTAGTTTTCCTTGTGTCCAATCAGGTGCCTCTCTCCATTGTCCATAGAAGATGTTCAGAGAGAGGGTAAGGAGACTTGCCCAAGGCATTATACCTGGGCCACAGCAAGCAGACCTATGGGACCCCTCAACCAGCCTCCTGTCCCCAGCTCTCTGGAGTTGAGAGGGACAGTCAGTCATTCTTGAAACGCAGAACCAGAGCTTTTGCTCTTCTTCTGAAACTAGAGCTGGGAGACTCGGCCACCCTGAGAGGCCAAGTCTAGATTTTAGAAGGGGAACTACAAGCCTGGGCTCAGGAAGCTGGAAATGTGGCCATGACGATGACAGGCACCTTTCCCCAGGCCCAGCGTGTATCTGGGTTCCCTCCAAACTCAGAGGGTGTCAGAAACACCTAAGCATCCTGCTCCAAGTCCCTTCCCCTTCAGGGTTTGTCCCTTCTGGGACCTTTGTCTATTTCTCCTGGGCCTGAGCTCTGAGGTGACAAGTTCCTTTTCTTTCTCCAGAGCCTTTTACAGAAGCATTTACTAAGCCTGTCTAGGTAGGGCCTTACCTTGTTCCTATGTCCCACAGCCCATGGTTCCCTTTTGTTGCTGGCAATGGGGATTAGGAACTCAGGGTATGAACTACAGAAAGAACCTAGAACTGTTTGTCACTGCCCCTGGCCTCCCTGTGTCAGTCTGTGAAGGAGGTGGATAATGATATACCTGTCTGGTAGAGATCAGAGATCTATGTCCACTTGGAAATGACAAGGAGCTCCTTAAGAGGGTAAGGTGTTATCAGTTGCCAGGGCCTCTCCCGAGAGTTGGTGCCAACACCTCCACCAGGGACTCTTGGGAGACAAGGGAGGGCTTCAGCAGAGCAGGTCCCTCCTGCAGACCTGGTTGAGCCTTCAGTTGGTAATGGCCTCACAGTAAGCCTTTGGAAGAGGATGCCGTGAGAAGAAACAGGACAGTGTCCTGACTGCTCAGACTGGCTGTGGCTCTGCGGCTGACAGATTCACTCAGCCACTGGACTAGACCATGAGCCAAGTGTAATGCTGTGACACTTGTCACAGCAAGTGACAAGTTGTGACAAGTTGTGGCAAGGCCTACCTTGTTGTGGCAAGGCCGGGCCAGGCCTCTGGCTCAGGAGCCAGCCTAGCTCAGAGATCAGAACAGAACCAGTAGGACAAAGGGTGCTAGGTCCTGAGGCTTTTGTGAGTATTTGGGTTAGAGCCTGGCCACGTGTTGAAGCCAGAACAGGGTCCCACAGAGAGTGAGCCCTTAAGGTCTTTTCGACATTTGATTTTATACAGACAAAGAAGCAGCAGCTTGCAAAAGCAAATCTAGGGTGCTGAGGAGGCAGCTTGGTTGGTTGAGAGATTCCCCTAATATGAAGAAAGCCACGGATTTGATTCCCTAAAACTTCGTGAAACAGGTGCCCGGGAAGAGGTAGAGGCAGGAGGATGAGAAGTTCACCTTCGACCTTTGCAATCTAGACTGTAGAGAAGTAAGTTTAGCCCAGGATACCCACATTTCAAAATAAACAAAAAACTAATACAGAACCTAAGAGGACCGAATGTCTGAGAGTTCTGGCATGCCCAGTTATTTATTTACTTATTGAGACAAGGTCTTTATATATAGCCCTGGGCTATCCTAAAATTCACTATGTACACCAGACTGGTCTTGAACTCAGAGATCTTTTTGTCTCTGCCTTCAGAGTATTGGTCCACCATACCCAGTCAGCGTGTTCAATTCAAATATGAGTCCCTGCTCTGGCCTTGGGCTCAGTTTCTCTCCACTCTGGTGTGAAGTTGAAGCCTGCTGGGGTTAGGATTTTTGTCAGAATTCAGCTTTCAAAGAGGTTAAGGGTCTTGAGGAAGTTGATACAAAGAACGAGCCAAGACCTGAGGCCTGGGCAGTTGGCTCTTGACTGACCCTTGTGGCTAGAGAATCAGCATTCTAGGACCTGGTCCCAGCCTCTTAGTTCTCCAATGACACTTGCAAATACCAGACACTCCTTCCTCCCTTAGTCTCTGGCGCCTCCTTGTGGCTTTTTACCTTCTGTGGGCCCCATCCCTGCCCTGAGCTGAGGAGGGCTGAGTCCCTCAGGTGAGAGCCAGCAGGCTCCATCAATCCACAGTCTAAGGACCTAGGAAGTTGAAGCAGTAAACTTGGGAGTTCAGGGTCATTCTTGACTACATAGCGTGTTCCAGATCAGTCTAGTTTATATGAGATGCTAAAACAACAACCACCACCACCATAAATCCAAATTCCTCCAGCCTGCCCTTCCCGATCCTCCCCTGGCATTGTCATGGGAGCCTAGCATTAAATATGAATCCTGAGTCTCCTTCCCAGCCTGATTGATCTGGGGAAAAAAATACATGCCTATGTTTTCCCCATTTCAAATTGTGGACCCCATGGAAAAGGGGCTTCTGTAAAGATCAAATGAGGAACCCACAGTGTTTTGTTTGTTTGTTTTGTGTTTTCCGAGGCAGGAATTCTCTGCATAACAGCCCTGGCTGGCCTGGAACTCAGAGATCTGCCTGACTCTGCCTCCCAAGTGCTGGGCTTATAGGCGTGTACTCCTCCCCTCCGCTCAACACACACAACATACCCCCACCGTGTTTTTAAATTCCCCATTTGATGGGATTTGAGTGTCCCACTCACTTTCCCCTGCAAATGCTTCCTCTCTCAACGCTGATCAACTTGATCCTGTCATGTCTCCAGTTTCCAGTCTGAAAGGGAGGCAAGCCCCCTAAATAGGTCTTCTAATTGAATAATGGGTTGTTCAAAAGACTACAACACCCCTTCCCTTTCTTTTATGGTCTGTCATGGTCAAGACTAGCACAGCTGGCCACAGATAGCCAGAAATCAAAAACCTCGCTGGACATAGCCAGCACCTCCTCCTTCTTTGTTTCCATCAGCTCATCTCGGACTTCTTGGGTTCTCCACGTTCCATTTAGGGACTTGTTCCCTCCAACACCGTAAAAATCGGTACCACCTAAGTCCACACGAGAATCTAGTTTCAGAGACCCCTACCCTCAGCCTTCCAAAGCCTCAGTGTATTCATCTGCTAAACGAGTGTGCCCCTTCTACCTCAACTACATGTCTCTGGGTTAGTTTTAAGGATTTAAAGGAGGTCAGAAACTTTTGGGGGTAGGTGGGTGTGTTGCCTTAGCAGCGCTTGCAAACCGGAGCAAAAGCGGACTACAACTCCCATCCGGCTTCAGGGCCACAACCATCCCAAGACCCTCTGGCCTGGCTAAGGCACAGGCCGCTGGCCCGGTCGCGTGGGAAGTTGCTGTAGGCTCCATCTAGGTTAGTGTCTCATGAGGGTCTAGGTGGCGCTGGGACTGGTGTGGCACGGTGATCAGAGGGGCCTTTTGCGACCCCAACGGTCCCCCCCTTCAACCCCGCCCAGGAGTTACTTTTCGTGGCCCGCCCTCCCACTTCCTGGACGAGGGTCGGCCCCGCCCCCACGCGCCTCCACCTCCCCACCTTCACCTTCAGCCGCGGCTCCCATTGGCCGGCTCGCACCTGTCCGTCCGTCGGGGGCGGGCTTGGAGGGCGGGGCGGGCGGCCAGGTGAAGGAGCGCGGGTGGCGACGGAGGAAGGTGACAGCGGGGAGGGCGGGAGGGAGGGGGGAAACCGCGCAGAACGAACCGCGGAACCACTGACGGACCGCCGGACGGGGCATGCGGGCGGCCTGGCTCTAGCCCGGGTTACGGGGCTCCAGCCGCAGCCATGGAGCAGCGGCTGCGTGCGCTGGAGCAGCTGGTACGGGGCGAGGCTGGTGGCAGCCTAGGGCTCGACGGTCTCCTGGATCTGCTGCTAGGGGTGCACCATGAACTCAGCAGCGCCCCCCTGCGCCGGGAGCGTAACGTGGCGCAGTTTCTGAGCTGGGGTGAGTGGTGAGGGCAACACCCGGGAAGGGAGGCTGGAGGGACAACACCTGGAGCTCTGTGCCCCCAGACCTTTTCCCGGGGATGGCATATTCCAGAAACTTCCTGAAGACGCACTGACTCCTTGCGCTGTATTTAACCTTGCCATAAGACTCCACAGCCCGCTCGCTCACCTGCACCTTACCTCAAACTCCCAGAGCCAGGTACACGATGTACACTTCCCATACTCTCATTTCATTCCCTGCTACAGACCCCAGACATGTTGCCAGTACACATCTTTCACAACGGTCACCTACAGCGAGTCCTTGGTCACATGTCACACCTCATGCCCTACCCAGAACATACATTCAGGTGGACACCCGTTTGGTGTCACATAAACATACAGACTTTCTCAGTTTCCTTCGTTCTTCAAGAGATGGGGACTTTGTTCTGAGACCCCTCTCACCTGTCACACAGGCACAAATAAATCCTCATCCTTCACCTTGCAGACAGTCTCCTTAACTTAATTCCTATCCAGCCCCTTTGGAGGATCTGGGATCTCATTAGAAGTGGTTTTATTTGATTCATCTGAATCCTGACAGGAATGGCTGACCTAGGGTGATCCTAAACCCATTGAGGGCACTGATACCACCAGCACAAGGGTTCCCTGGACATCTCTGGCCAGGCTTTGGTGGGGAGGGCATAGGAATTGGGCCTGGAGAGTAGTGTGCTTGCCCAGGAGGCCATCAGAGTTCCTGGTTCTCCTGAGCTCTAGGCCGGGAGAAGGCTGGGCCTTGTATGGTTGGGGGTCTACCATCTAGTTCTGCCATTTCTTTCTGTGGTGAGAGCAGTTAGACAGCCCTGCCCCCGTTGCCTGTATGTTTCTCTGTGACTCTTATGTGTTATACATGTGTCTGATTTGTCATCATTCCCACATGACACTGGTACCTGTGTGTGTATGTGTGTGTGTATGTTTTCACATATGTGTGTTTCTCCCTGCCTGCCTCTGGAACCTCTACTTAGACCCCAACATAGGGGACGTCTGTTGACATCTCCCGAGGTAACTCCAAGGCTGGGCGTGACTCAGGCCTCTCCTGCCCCAACTTGTCCCTGCTCCTGCCCAGAGCCCCCACCCCTTCTGGCAAGACAAAGGTACTAGGCATCTTGTCCTGGAGGTTGGATCTGGGCACCAAGTTTGGCCTAGGTGGCTGGTGGTCACCTCTGACCACTCTACAAGCTGGTAGCTGCTCCTCCCTAGTTCTACGCATAAACCTGGGAAGAGGCAATTAATTTCTGTAGTGAGGGTTCCACACCTCCCCCGCTGTGGGGTTCTGCCTGATAAACCTGTGGAGCAGCTCTCTGTCCCACCCACAGGCCCGCCCAGCTGGCAGGGAGTTTACCTTCTGGCAGGGGGAAACTGAGGCAAGGTGCCAGATCCTAGATGTCCCCCAATCCTCACTGGTCACTCCTGTCTTCATCAGCTCCCAAGACTGGGTGCCCTTCCCCCTGGCCTAAGGCCACTCCAGTTCTGGGGAGAGCCTGGGAGTGGCTGACATGGCCCTTGTGGAGGTGGCGGTAGGGCGCATAGACTGATGGAGGAGGAGGTGCTTGCCTGTGTAAGCCCATCCAGAGAGGGAGGCAGGGCTCCAAGTGGCAGGGCTAGCAAGCCTGGAAGGAATCCTGTGTGCTCACACCCTCAGGTGCTGGCATTGGGCACCAGGTGAAGTTTTTGGCCCTGTTTGTGTGTCTTGTGAGTACCTGAGCAGACTGGTATCTGTTCCTGACCCAGGGGCCCCACTTGGGGAACACAGAGCCTGTCTTTCTGGAGCACTGCTGAAACTCTCCTCCCTGTCCTCTGCCCTCCGGGGCTGCCCCAGGCCTTACCTCCAGCTGGATTGCTCTGTGCCCACAGGGTCCCCAGACCCAGGCCCACAGTTCCTGAATGGCAGAGAAGCCTTTCTGGGTACAAAGAATGTCACCTATCCAGTTTCCCAGATAGGCCCCTGGGCTGGCTTGAGGGTCAAAGGCTGTGAGCTAGGGGTGAAAGTGATTTCTGTATTGTCTCCAGGGTAACCTGGCTGTCAGGAGTAGGCCCCTGGCTAAAGAAGGCCACAAGGTCCTTCTGTGCCTCAGATAGAGACAACCTGGAGCCTGAAGCACGTGTCCAGGGAGGTTCTGAGGCCAAGTGGTCCTCTGAGTCAGGACCCTCACCATGCTTGTATCATGACCAAATAGGCCCTGCTTCTGATCTGTCCCTCCTCTGTGGGTTGTCTCTGGGAAAGTCATCCCTGTCCTAATCTCATGGGAGCTTGTAAGAAAAAAATGCTGTCCACTCTATGCCCTCAGCCAGCCCCTTTGTAAAACGAGTGAAAGAGCTGCGTCTACAGAGAGATGACTTTGAGATCTTGAAGGTGATTGGCAGAGGGGCCTTTGGGGAGGTAAGTAAGTCTTGGGGTGGGTGAGGAGGAGGAGCCTTGCACTTGATCTGGTCTAAATCAGGCCCTGCTTCCTTCACTCAGGTTGCTGTGGTGAGGCAGAGGGACAGTGGCCAGATTTTTGCCATGAAGATGCTGCACAAGTGGGAGATGCTGAAGAGGGCTGAGGTCAGTCTGGGGTCAAGTGTGCCCTGCAGATGGGCAGGGGAGGTGTGCATGCTGCAGATGGGCAGGGAAGGTGTGCATGCTGCAGATGGGCGGGGGAGGTGTGCATGCTACAGATGGGCAGGGGAGGTGTGCATGCTGCAGATGGGCAGGGGAGGTG